CGCGGCGGCCGTGCCATGCCGACGTTCGTGGCGCGCGGCGGCGGCGTGCTCATTGCTGGTCGGCGCGGCGACGCGGGAGCGGCGGCGAAGCGGGCGCGGTGGCGGGGATCGGCAGCGGGGTTATTCGCCGCTGCCAGCGCCCGCGGATCGGGGCGCTGCAACACTGCCTGCATACCAAGATCGGTGGCACGGCAAGCCCTGCCACGTCACCGATCAGCGATTCCGGTCATCGCCACGTCAGCCCGCTGCCGCGCCACCATGCATGACGCGGCACAGGCATTTGGTCGCGCCATGGCAATAGACGCGGCCAAAAGTGTTAGTTTAAAAAAACAGACAATGTTAGTTTTAAAATTAGTTTTTAAAAAGTGTTAAAATAATAAAAAAAGGCTCTGAGCGTGACTCGCAAATTGCAATATTTTACGAATTCCAGGTCTCAGTTATAGTAGATTTTTTTGAGACGAGTTATAGTAGATATTCAGATGCTCCTTTTAGCTTATTTACTGTTGTAAGAGATGGTAATTACGAACAACGTATCTATCAAGTGAAACTTGAAATTATCTTTTGAGGCAACTTGTACTGTAGAGCCTCTCGTAAGTTCCGAACTATAATTTTGTGTTTCTAAATTTGGATAAAGTGTGCACTGTGAGAATGATGAACATATACTAATAGCTAGATCTCTGAATGAAGTTACAACCATAAACATGATGTTAACCTTTTATCTAAACTCTAAAGCATCCTTCCCTAATCTTTCTATAGGCTGCTTGCTTGGCAGCCTTTTTTTTTTTGAGTTTTTAACGTCACCCTATACGTGCACGTATCTCCGAACTTACACACAAGTCATACTGCCTTTTCTTGGTAAGCAAGTTGTGGAAAACAGAGGGAAAACGGTTGCAGCCAAAGAGACCAAGTAAAACTACACAAGCTGAAGGGAATGGATCCTCTAAGTAATACGCGAGTGGTTATATATAGTAGTATTTGCGAATAAAATTAAAATTGGGCTTGGAAAATTGTTCAACCCACTGTGATTCTATCTTTTCATTTGCAAGTATTCCAATCGGCATAAATATAGCTCACTGAAAAAATGTCACAATTTCAACCCCATTGAACCGTATGCTCACACACTAGTGACTTTAATATATTGTACTCATCTGTTCCAAATTATAAGTCGCTTCGATTTTTTTTGGTACATAGAATTTTCTATTTATCTAGACATATATTATATCTAGATGCATAGCAAAATGGATGTACCAAAAAAGTCAAAGCGACTTATAATTTGAAATGGAGGGAGCATTTTCATTTGATTCTACCGCGTCCAAAAACGTATGTTACACACCTGGAGTCCTGGACCTTACCTATGCATCATGGGTACAAATATTAACATTACAATGAATTGGGGTTAGAGCAAAATTGCATAGTGAAAACTTAGAATACTTTGTAATTCACAACTTTTTATTTTGGCATTTGATACATAACGCGTATGGTTGCTAACTTTCTCACGGGTTATATTGGTTAGAGCAGTGTGCTCTTGGACAGGTTGGGCAAAAAAAACACCGAAAACCATAAATCGAACTGAACCAAACCAAAATGTCGGTTTTTTCGGTTTCGGTTTTTGGTCCCTAGAAGTTCAGTGCTCGGCTCGATATTCGGTTTCATAGCCAAATCGGACCGAAAACCTCAATCAACCGAACTGTGCAAGCATGCCACCAGATGCAGAGCCCACCTCAGCCTCGGTGGCTCTGTCCACCTCCACTCCCACTCCCCAAAGCCCCCACCAGCTCACCCCACGCCCCCTTAGCTCGATCCTCTCCACAATTCCCCACACTGAACCCTAACCGCACAAGCGCAAACTGGAGCGGCGGCACGAGCATGCGCGAGGGGTGGAGCGACCGCGCGAGCAGGCGTGGGTGGCGGCACAACAACCCATGCAAGATCCGTGATGACGGCTGCTCTAGCCAGTGGCACGACGGAAGCTCTAGCAGGCAAGCGCGGCGGCAGCTCTAGCAGGCGGCGTGCGCGGTGACTCCATCAGCAGAGCCGGGCAGCGGCGATGCGAGCAGGCCACAATGACATCGAGGGTGTGCCATCCCCAAGTGCCTTGAGCAGTTTCGTTTTTTTGTTACCAAACCAAAGCAAAAAAAAAACAAAAACGAAATTGTTGGATCCCCATTTTATAGCTAACCGATCGGTTGCTCATTCCTAAAAACCGAAGTTTCTAAAAACCGAAGAAACTAAACTGAATTTTCGGTTAAAAGCTAATGCTCACCCTGAGCTCTTGGGGGTTTATGAAATGTGACTAGTAAGTATATATATACTAATAGAAAAGGTCGAACAGGGGAGAGCCGCCACCCTAAATTTTTCTTAAGGAGTTTTTGCCGGCCTTCAAACATGGATAGATGATTGGGTTTTCATCGACCCTAGACTTCAACAATCTACTAGTAACTCAGAAAAAGTTGGCTATCTATGTGATAACAACAAAAACTTTTTCATCTAAACTCTTTTAATGTTCATGTATTGGTACCGGAATACACCTTAATCGATAAACTTGAACTACACGGTACCTGTTAGCTTCATCACTATAGGCTTGATTGGTTACTCGCATTAGTATTGTATTGCATTATAGGTTATGCAGTATATCCTTAACCTAGACAAGGCAATGCAATTTGTTATTGGTTGGTTTACCTGGATAGAAAGTTGTACAATGTTATGTCTGATTGGTTTGTTGCTCCTACCTTGTTGCATTTTTAGACCCTTTACAGTTTTAGACTTTTGTTGCATTTTTGACATAGTATGTCCTACCTTGCCTTACTCATTAAGGTGGCTTTATCATAGGATGACAAGATGATATGGGAACTACATAAGTCCTAAAGAGGAATTTATGGGAGAAAGTTGTCGAGTAAGACATAAAATTTGTATTAAAAAATGTGCTACTCTTAGCCATCTTTTCCATCTCATACTTTTGGTTTACGTAGTTATAGCTATACTTAATTGCATCTAATAATTAGCTAATACTTTTAGGACCCAAAAATGGTAGTTAATAATCACCAATCAACATGTTCTTTAAAATGAATAATGTGGCAATGGCTACCCTCCAATAGTAGGTTTCAAAATGAATTTTTAGCAACTATTCATGACTAATGAAAGTGTTCACATTCTCATTCCACATGTAAAATGATGCAAAGGAATGTGGACATAAAGAGAATTATTGCTAAGTTCTAGGCCCTTGCTTAACCTAAGCTTTCGACATCCTCTATATATCTAGACAAAGGAATAATCCTTATTCTGATATTTGGACAACCTCTATGCCTCCGGAGTTACCACTTATACTATTTAATTCATAAAAAGAAGTTGATTATTACAATATTGTCAGGATAAAAGACCTTATATACAAAAAAATACTGAATATATTTTGACTTTTTGCCTATGTCTTCGCCTTTGAACTAAGAACACTTGTAGATAATTTCATTTCCATTAGGTTCATGCATCAACAATCTAATTGTTTCCGTAAACACCAACAAATAATTCAATTTAATCAACTTTATGACACCATTTCTAGGTAGCGAATAGATTGAACAAATGAGCATTACATTACATGTCTAATGACTGAATGAGTTGTGAAAACGGAAGGCATACCACCACCAAGAAAAGTAGAACCACCTTTGTTGCATACCGGGAGCATTCATATGTAGCTAATGAATATGATTCACACAATGCTATCATCAAACTTGTCATATTGCCCCCTAACCACACGAGTTGATGGTAAAACGGAAAATGTTCATTGCATTCGACACTCTAGAAAGCACAATAATTATGCACAAGTAACCGATAAAAAGTGGTTCGCATAGAGGTACAAGTAATGAGATGCTGCATGCGTGCGTCACTTGCATGAGTCACACATTCCATGGACATAAATAACAATGTGTCGTGAGAGTGATATCACGTGGCATGATATCTAACAGATTTGCTTGTATCAAACTACCTTAATTAAATATTTGTAAAAAAAGTGTCGCCATTAAAAAAAACTGCCTTACAGACATTGAGTTGAGGTAACCTAAATTGTGAAAATTTTTGTCTTAGAAACGATACTATACTACTTTAAATTACTACTAGAAAGGAAGCCTATTGTTTTGTGGACTCTTGGTGGAGGAAGAAAAACTTTCTTAGACACTAAGGTCTTGTTTAGTTGGCGAATTTTTTTAGAAAATGATACTGTAGCATTTTCGTTGTTATTTGGCAATTAGTGTCAAATCATAGTCTAATTAGGCTTAAAAGATTCGTCTCGTGAATTTTGTCTAAACTATGTAATTAGTTTTATTTTTTATTTATATTTAATGCTTCATGCATGCGTCCAAAGATTCGATGTGACGAAGAATCTTAAAAAATTTTACAAAATTTTAGGAACTAAACAGCCACTAAGGTAACCTAAATTGTGAAGAAAATTGTCTTATTGTAAGTTATTACTACTACTACTAGAAAGGAAGGCTATTTGTTTTGTGTACTCTGGCGAGAAGAAGACGAGAGAAAGCTCGGTAGTGGAGAGTCCCAAAAACTCCCGAGCTAGGCTCCTGTCTGAACTGTGCCGTGCCCGGCTCGACCCAGGAAAATCGGAAATCGCCCCCGACAGCACGCGACCGACCTGTGCTCCCCCCCTTCACCGCATCAGCGGCTTCCCCTCGCATCCGCCCTCGCCCTCGACCCCCGCCTCTTCTTCCTCCTCTTCCCGCCGCCCTCCGCCGTCGCCGCCGCCGCCGCTTGGCGGCCGCCTCTCGCACACGCACCGCAGTCGCGGGCTACGACGACCCCATGACTATGATGACGCCGCCCCCTCTCGAGGTACGTGCTCTCTCCTTCACTCGCTCGCCCCGATCTCCGCGGCCAGTCCACCCTCCACGGCGCGCCGATCGAGGGCGCTCGGGTTCGCGCCAGGGTTTACGCGCCGGGCCGGATCTGACCCCTCAGCCCGCGCTCTTCCCTCCTCGCAGCAGCAGCAGGAGGACGACGAGATGCTGGTGCCGCACCAGGAGCTCTCTGTTGCTGGTCCGGAAGCCGCCCCGCAGCCGATGGAAGGTGAGGACCTAAGCCTTCTCTCGCCTTCTGTGCTTGTGTGCTCGTGGGTTTATGTGTTTCTAGTTCTCGCTGATCTCATCTCACACGTGGTGGCTGCTGTCGTGGTTTGGTTCCTGCTGCTAGTTGTTGCGCAGACAGAGCCCGCCAACACAGCGGAGAGCCAGCCGCCCGAGGACCCGCAGACGTCGCACTTCACCTGGACGATCGAGAGCTTCAGCCGTCTTAACACTAAGAAGCACTACTCTGATGTGTTTGTCGTTGGAGGATACAAATGGTGAGCGTTTGGATCTCCTGCCACTGTAACCGCTGCCGGAAGCATGGGTATATGTTTGGTGGGTTTTGATGGATGTGCTACTTTTTGCTTGCAGGCGTGTGCTAATTTTCCCCAAGGGGAACAATGTGGATCACTTCTCGATGTATTTGGATGTTGCGGATTCTGGGAACCTCCCATACGGGTGGAGCCGGTATGCTCAGTTCAGCTTGGCTGTTGTGAATCAGATCCACCCAAAGTATACGATTCGGAAAGGTATCTCTTTCTTCATTTAATGGTCTTCTGCTTGTCTTGTGAATGCCATCCCATCATGGAAGTTTTAAGGGCTGTAACTTACAAGTTTTCAACTGAGCTGGAACATGACGAGGCCATTGGCAGTTATTTGGTCATTGACAATTGTCAAACTTTTATCATGATAGCATGAGGTTATAATTGGAAATGAGGTGCACATTCTATTTGCCTATAACTAATTACAGCTAATATGCAAAATCATAGACAAGGGTGAAGATCTGTCCCTCTGTTATTCTGAATCAAGATATATGTAGGAAGCAGATGTAGCACGTGCATGGCACATAAAGTTCTTAAGTTTAATAGAATCTTTATTTTTAAATTACTTTAGTTTTAAGGGGGTTAATTCATTTCTAGGTAAGTTTTTTGTTTTCATATTTACTTGATTTCTGTAGGATGTTGCTCAGCCGCGTGTCTCTTTTTTCTTAACAATTTTTTTTTTTGGCAAAGTGACAACTCAAACTAGCGTCTCAACTCTCATGTGTGCTTGTCACCTTTACTGCATTTGTTGTCTTTTAAAAATGTAATTATTGTGTCGATTGTGAAAGATTCTTTTGACTTTTAATTTTTTACAAATAGCTGTGTTAATATTGTTGAATATGCCTTTTGTTAGATGTATGTAGATCATCAATCACATACGGAGTTGATCACTGTTATAGTGCATCGTATAATATGTTCAACAATGAGATATGTAGGATATGGATGGCAGAGTCCAATGCATGCCATTTGAAACTTGCAAACATGTGTGGAAAGGAGTACCGGACCCCCATTGCTGCCTCATAAACAATCATTTTTCAAAACTGTGTTGATTGCAGTTGTGCTTATTTAGATTTCCCAAAAACTCCCAACAGTTTATTTCTTACTTTGAACTTTTCTGCTCATTACCAACTCACAGTTGCTTGAAGCTCTAACCTTTGGTTTAGTTGCTAATAGTCTATCAAGTGATGTATAAATACTAGAATTATTATCTGACAAGGGTTTGATTGCCAACCTTGTTTTTTTCATAAATTCCTTCAATCTGGCATTTTTATATGTTATTATAACACCTTTACTTTTTTTTCCTTTAGTTACATTGAGTTTCTCACTATTTCTGGAATATTTCTTTTGGCTGAATTTATATGTTGATCCCATGTTTGGCAGATACCCAGCACCAATTTAATGCACGCGAGAGCGACTGGGGTTTCACATCATTTATGCCTTTGAGTGACCTATATGACCCAAGCAGGGGCTATCTTGTGAATGACACCGTCATTGTAGAAGCTGAGGTTGCTGTCCGCAGAATGGTTGATTATTGGACTTATGACTCGAAAAAAGAAACAGGTTTTGTAGGTCTTAAGAATCAAGGTGCTACCTGTTATATGAACTCTCTCCTTCAAACGTTATACCATACACCATATTTTAGAAAGGTGAGATCAATTATTGTTCTGTTCTACACGTTTCTCTAAATGCCTGAATTTTTAACCAATTTATTGAAATGTTTTTATAGGCTGTATATCATATGCCAACAACTGAGAATGACATGCCATCTGGGAGTATCCCTTTAGCCCTGCAGAGCCTTTTCTACAAGCTCCAGTATAGTGACAACAGTGTAGCGACGAAAGAGTTGACCAAATCCTTTGGATGGGATACTTATGATTCTTTCATGCAACATGACGTGCAAGAACTCAACAGAGTTCTTTGTGAGAAACTGGAAGATAAGATGAAGGTGAATATGACAATAATGAATTATCAGTACATCAATTTACTTTTTATTAACTTTTCTTTCTCCACAGGGAACTGCTGTGGAAGGAACAATTGAACAATTATTTGAAGGCCACCACATTAATTACATCGAGTGCATTAACGTAGACTATAAATCTAGCAGAAAAGAATCATTTTACGGTAGGCTCTGTCATTTAATTGTACTTGCATGAAAATCATATATTTATCTATGATATATAAATAATAGTTGCCTATGTCATGGCTTGCAGATCTACAACTTGATGTGAAAGGTTGTCGTGATGTTTATGCATCATTTGATAAATATGTGGAAGTGGAGCGTCTAGAGGGTGATAACAAATACCATGCGGAGCGATATGGCTTACAGGTTCCCACAAATCCTGCTCTATGCGTGGCCTTGTAGCTGGATATTTAGGTGTAGTAGATGCTGATTACCTGATTTTCAGAGTTTTAGGAAAGTTCCTGGTATTTCAATGAAATGACAGAATTCTGTCGTAATTATCTTATGTTCTTTTTGAACAAGGCTAAACCTCAGCTTGGCCTTTATAGAAAGCTTAACCAGCACCATCTGTTTTACTGGGGTTACCAGTTTACGAACAAAAAACACAGCCATCTAGTGCCACAGCGCCTACTGCAATTCCAAACTCTCCTTGCCAAAGAAAAATACCCCCAGTTCTCCCATTCACTCTAGCAAACATCAGACACATACTCTTGAATGCCAACAAAAGATGTGCAACATGAACCAGAACACACACTCAGAGCACTCTACTACATCTGGACAAAAAAACTGTGTGGATTATTATCAGTTCGGTTATGATTATCTTTTCTGACATTTTTTGTTATTATAGTTGTACCTTAATCTCAATCTTATTTTTGTTTTCAGGATGCAAGGAAAGGTGTGCTCTTCCTTGATTTCCCTCCTGTTTTGCAGCTTCAACTGAAGCGTTTTGAATATGATTACATGCGAGATACAATGGTTAAGGTTAGAACCGTGCTGAATACCACCGTCAAAATGATAAACCACTTCTATACATCTTTATCATTGTTTCAAGCAGATAGTTTTTTTTTAATTGAAATGCTGGTTGTCATGGCATGCCAGGGGTTTGGCACTGACCAAATTGTAAGGCTTTAGATTGATATTAGCAAGATTTGCGTAATCTCTTTCAAGTTACATGTAGCAATTATTTCTCTAAAAGGTCTGCAAGAATTTGCAGAGTTGATGTGATTGTATCTTCGACTCCTTGTTGTTAAGTGCTCGACAATCACAGTTGCTACTAACTCCTTGAACTGTGGAACAATGCAATTAGTCTATGTATGCATTGGTACACATATTTTGCTATTTTGGGGGGTTATTGAATCTGTTTTGGTGCCAACAATATCAATTCTTTGCTGTGAAGTGGATTAAAATAGAACTAATTAGTTCCAGTTAGTCACTACCAGTTTTTTCTGTGTGGGTGCAGTCACTCATATGAGTGTTGGGGAACATGTTAAAAATGTGGTAAGCGACAAACATCTGTTTACACTTTGTGTTTTTCTTTACAATTACGAAATTATCAGTAAATAGATCATTATGATGGTTATTTCGGTTGATGCACATAGCCCAGTACCATACTGCTTGAATAGAGACTGTGACTTGATGCTTGTTTAGGATGCAAGTAGTTTTAAGTTGTGATAATTGACACCCAGCACCTTGTATTTTATATAAAAAGTTCATCATTTGGATATGCACATCTTACCCTGAATAAAACATGCCTCATTCAGACAAAAATCATGATCAGTTTTTTGTAGCTCTGGTTCTTTCTTTGTTAGGATTATCTGTTTCATGTTCTTGTTTGCCTAATTCAGTTTTCTGTTGTCTATGTGTGGCTTCCTCAACAATTAACATTAGATGTCTTTTGTTTAAGAAATGGTTAATAAGATTATCTAGGATTCGTGATGAAGAACTACCTACTTCTGCAGATTAATGACCGCTATGAGTTTCCTCTTCAACTTGATCTTGATAGAGACAATGGAAAATATCTTTCTCCAGATGCAGATCGAAGTATTAGAAACCTCTATACGCTTCACAGGTAATTTATTTGTCATATACTGTTCCAATTCTTTGAATGGTATATAGGTGCAACAGCTATAATGGAGAAATCTAATTCATGTATATAGAAATGTGAAATTCCAACCAGTGTAGCACTTTTCCTTTAAGTTTCAGTTACTTTTTTCTAGACGCTGATCTCTGGTTCATGTAATACAGAAGAACCTGAGTGTAGAAATTGGCCAATAAATTGAATGTATGCAACATTGTCCTTTTGCCCTACATAGTGAAGCTGTGTTGGAAAATGTGCAAATTTGAAGAAAATTGCTGTCTTCTTTGTTCTGACAGTTTATTTCACATTATTCATGTATTCTTGACAGCATGCATACAGAAATGATCCATTTTTTCTATGCTGATGTTGCCTGTCTTTTTTCATTCAGTGTTCTTGTTCATAGTGGGGGAGTACATGGTGGTCACTACTATGCTTTCATTCGGCCGACACTCTCGGATCAGTGGTGCGTTTCCATCTCATGATTTTCAGTTCATGCTGGTAGATGTGTCTTCTGGTAGTTTGCCTTAATAATTTTCTGTCGTGCACCATTATTTTGATTGTGGCCCAGCATTTTAAGCTTAAGACATATTTGTGATTCTTAAAATGCTCCATGCTGCTGTTACCTTGGAATAATTTGTGGGAAGATAACCTCTCAATTAGACTTGATGTCTCTCTTATATATACAACATATGGGCCAATATGGGCCTAGAATGGATGGGCGTGATATATATGTAACAGCTGCATGATATTGAACTGGGTATTGTATATATTTACACTTAGCCCTGCTCACAACTTCACTATACTCATTGCTGGCTTTATCACCATCTTGTGTCTTGTGTCAACATGCAATGCAATCCTCTGAATCTGTTGGTTAGCTTTATCATTGACAGTTCACAGTGATAAAGAACCTTCTTTTCACAGTAATATCTTATTTAACCAGATGGCATATGGAATCACTTTCTTTGCTTGTGCACAGCACATTGTCATCCAGTTACTATATCTTTGAAAATGTTTTACAAATGCCATCTCTATGAATTTTTCTGGTTGGTTTTCAGGTACAAATTCGATGATGAGCGGGTTACAAAAGAAGACACTAAAAAGGCACTTGAAGAGCAGTATGGGGGTGAGGAAGAGGTAACATTCTTTATAACAAATGTTCATTCAGTACAATGCAGTTACTTGTGGACTTCTATTAACTTTCTTCTTATTTATTCTTTGTATGGAACAGTTGCCTCAAATAAACCCTGGTTTCAATAACACACCATTCAAATTCACAAAGTATTCGAACGCCTATATGCTTGTCTATATACGTGAGAGTGACAAGGAGAAAATAATGTGTAATGTCGATGAGAAGGATATTGCTGAGCATTTGCGTGTAAGTAGTTCTTGTATACTTTCCACCTTTTCTTTGTATCATCTTAGTATTTTCGTTGAAGATAGTGATTGATTGAACTGTTCTTATACAGATAAGGTTGAAGAAAGAACAAGAAGAGAAAGAGCACAAGAAGAAGGAGAAGGCTGAAGCTCATCTCTACACTATCATAAAGGTCTGGCCTTGTTTCAGTCATACCAGCAGCTAACTTCTCTCTTGGTGACTCCTCTTGATAGAACTTTGTTTATGAAAAATGAAAATAGATTGCTCGAGACGAGGATTTAAAGGAGCAGATTGGTAATAATATATATTTTGACTTGGTGGACCATGAAAAAGTTCGCAGCTTCCGCATTCAGAAGCAGTTGCCTTTTACTTCATTCAAGGTTATGGCCCAAAGAACCCTACATGTTTTTTCATACCATAGCTTCATGGTTATGATTTTTTGATACTACTGGCCTATTTGCAAGGCATTGAGCTGCTACATTTATGGTGGTTTTGAACTCAAGTTCAAGCCCCTCTAGGCAGTGTTATTTTCTGTTGCAATTCTATCTTTAAAAGTTAAAACGGGCACCTACCAGAAATAGTCAGCAAACTTGCTTTATGGTCTGGCTGATTAATGGTTTTCATTACCAGTTTGGAACATTCCATTTACCGCATTCCAGATTTCTTTAATTTTCTAGTTGTGCTCTATAATCTGCGTCAAAGCTATAGCAGTGAGTCAGTGACCATTTGATTTTGGTAGTCTCATTTGATTTTCAAATGAATTGTTCAGGAGGAAGTTGCAAAGGAATTTGGCATCCCTGTACAGTTTCAGCGCTTCTGGTTGTGGGCTAAGAGGCAGAACCATACATACCGGCCGAATCGTCCATTGACCCCCCATGAGGAAGCACAATCAGTAAGTCATTTGTTGTTTTTAGAAGTTCACACTTATAATACTTCAAGTACTTAAATATGTGGAATACCATTTGGTTCATTACGTTTGAAGTTCAGGTGTTAAGTTATATTTTCATTTGCTTTATTTATCCTTTCCTTTTAACTTTGTGCTCCCTTTTGCCATTCTTTTTATGTGGAAAAAGTATCTTTTATTGTCCAATATCACTTGCAAGTTCTACCTCACATGTCACTTGCAATTTGAGGACAAGTGAACTTGTGTGCATTTCTTAACGTTTGAGATTTGCTTACATGTAACATGTAGCATTAGTTTATTTGAACTCTTGATCTATCTGTTTGGTTGAATTTCTTGAATGTAGAATACTAGTATTATTGCAGTAGACAATAAGGATGTATTTATGTGGCAATATTTCAGAAATAGTGTGACATAATATGCATCATATCTTAGCCTTTTACTTCTTTAATTTGTGTCAATCCATTTGTCATTTCAATTTATTTCTTTTATTGCACAGGTTGGGCAGCTTAGGGAAGTCTCAAATAAGGCACACAATGCTGAGCTGAAGTTGTTTCTAGAAGTTGAACTTGGACCAGTAAATATTGTTTATTTATTCTCCTATTTTCCCTATTTTTTTATTCCTTCTAGATTTTGAGATACTTGGTTGTTTCTAATTGTTACTTACATAGGAGTTATGTCCAATTCGTCCACCTGAGAAGAGCAAAGAAGACATACTTCTTTTCTTCAAGCTTTATAATGCTGAGAAGGAAGAGCTTCGGTATGTTTCTTGTTAATCTATTTGTCAATCATTCTGTTGAACTTTTATTACAGATGACACACATGGTGACATCGCTCTGCTATTACAGTTTTGTTGGTAGGCTTTTTGTGAAGGCTCTGGGAAAGCCATCTGAAATATTGACAAAACTGAATGAAATGGCTGGATTTTCTCCAAATGAAGAAATTGAGCTATATGAGGTGCTTCACAATTCTGTATTTATTTCTCTAGAGTACACATTCTAACTTGCAGTATGCATGTTCTGCCTATGTGCTCCTTATGCTCATACAATCTGTTCAAGTCCTTGATTGTTCAGAGTGTATCTTGCGCAATGGTTAATTTTAATTTAGTACAATGTTGTGCACTTAATAATGCTGTCCTGATGATCTTCCAAAGTTGAATATCCTGTTGCTTTTGACATTCTTATTCTGCAGGAAATTAAGTTTGAGCCAAATGTGATGTGTGAACATATTGACAAGAAACTTACTTTCCGTTCTAGTCAGGTTTGTGAATTTTCTCTTTTTAGATGCAAATATTTTTTTAGTTCTTTGGTCAACAAAGGCATTCGTTGATTATTTTTTTGAATTTGTTTTCTTATGAATTAGCTTGAAGATGGAGACATCATCTGTTTCCAAACGGCTCCTGTTCCAGATAGTGATACACAAGTGCGCTATCCAGATGTTCCTTCATTCTTGGAGTATGTTCACAATAGGCAGGTATACTTGGATACAAATCAATTCTAATGTTTTCAACTTATCTCATTGTTTACCAAACTCTACTGCACTATTCCCTCTTATTTCACTGTGTTTTTTACATTTTGTTCTCTCTTCACCCTCATTTACGTATTCATGGTGAGCATGAGCTTCCCAAGTCCTAACACGTTTTATGAAATTAGTATATTCAGAGGACCAAAAACCAAATTACCTTACATGTTTGCATGCATATGTGGTTTTCTTTGTAAAATAGTTTCTCGTCATTGGTTTATAATGATAAATATTTTTATTTCTGATTTGTTTTACTATGAAGCTAGTTGTGCTCGCTGTTTCTGTGAAGTGGAAACTAATTTACTGTTACTGAGTTAACTTGTAACTTTTGTGTTGTTTGTACTGTAGGTTGTGCACTTTCGGTCTCTGGACAAACCAAAGGAGAATGATTTTTCTTTGGAATTGTAAGGGATTGCAAATCAAACTGATAAACTGGTTTTACATTTGAACTATAGTTTTGAATCAACTTACATATATGTGTTTCTTGTTTTCATGTAGGTCAAAGCTTCATACTTATGATGATGTTGTTGAGAGAGTTGCACATCAACTTGGGTTGGCTGATCCCTCAAAGATTCGGCTTACATCTCACAATTGTTATTCTCAGCAACCTAAACCACAGCCTATTAGATATAGGGGAGTAGAACATCTACTGGATATGCTTGTTCATTATAATCAGGTCGAATTCTCTTTCTTTGTTTATTCATTAAGTGCATTACTGCATTTGGAAACATGACACTGATTTATGCTACTTTCTATTTTGATGCTTCATTCCAGACTTCTGATATCTTGTATTATGAGGTTCTGGACATTCCACTGCCAGAATTGCAGTGTTTGAAAACACTTAAAGTTGCATTCCACCATGCAACAAAAGACGAGGTTCGTGTCATGTTTGTCACTAGTTCCTATGCTCATATTTTATTCCTAAGCTATGTCACTGAGGCACATGATTTGTCAGGTTGTCGTTCATAGCATAAGACTTCCAAGAAATAGCACTATCAGTGACGTGATTACTGATTTGAAAACCAAGGTGATCACAAATCTGTCTTTCAGTTTACCCAGTTACTTAGTTTCTCCTGAATTTTAATTGAATTTGAACTGTTGGTTTGCTGCATAATAACTATACCTATTTACTATAGTATCCTTTTTTCTTTAGTTTGAAGCATGTCTATAATTCTCATTTTAATGTTCAACAGGTTGAACTATCTAATCCTGATGCTGAGCTCCGCTTGCTTGAAGTATTTTACCATAAGATTTATAAGGTTCGTGCATGGTTTATGTGAAATATTTCCCGTATGAAGAGTGCTGGCTCTTTCTAATGCAATGTTCTAGAATTTCTGAACTTCTTTCTAAAATTAGTGCTATATTTTTCCCTTAAATTTGGCATTGTTAGGATGATACAATTATTTTCTGCAGATCTTTCCGCCTCATGAGAAGATAGAGAACATAAATGATCAGTACTGGACATTACGAGCTGAGGAGGTTCGTATTATTTCATTTTCTTGGCGTTGACCTTTTGATCTATTCTATTGAAAAATACAATTATATTTAAGTCGATTCATCTGTGATACTTATGTAAAGTTGTCTTGCATGACACTGCTGCTGTCAATTTTGAAACAGATCCCAGAGGAAGAGAAGAATCTCGGCCCACACGATCGATTGATTCATGTTTACCATTTCATGAAAGACCCTAATCAGAATCAGCAGATTCAGAATTTCGGAGATCCTTTTTTGATGGTTATCCGTGAAGGTGAGACTGCTGCAGAGGTAATGGAGCGCATCCAGAGAAAACTTAGAGTTCCTGATGAGGAGTTCTCCAAGGTAAATATATCCTTATATTATTACTATTTATTATAGAATGGATTTAGCCAGAGCCCCCCCACCCTCTCTTTTCCCTCCTTAAATATGCTACAGCGTGGGTTGAATGTAATCTGTTTATTGCTCCAACCTAATACAGGGTTAATTTACTTTGGTCGCCAAGGTTGACTGCTATCCAACAGTTTACATTAGTTCTGGCTACCTAGAGGTCTTGGTGCCACTCCGGAATTGCCATCTTAGCTTTTGCCATTCTGCCCCCTTCCTTGTCAGGGCAATATGCTTTGGCCCCCTTCCTGTCATGCTACATGCTTCGGCCAGCTGAGGCAATGAAATAAAATTAAATTATTGTTGCAACGCAAACCTCTCTGCCATCTTGTGTGTGCACTGTGCAAAAGCACGTTAAGGGCTTAGTTTCTCTAGTTATTACTCCTTCCATTCCAAATTATAAGATGTTTTGGCATTTCTAGATTCATAGCTTTTGTTATGTATTTAGATATACACTATGTCTAGATACATAGTAAAAGTAATGTATCTTGAAAAGTCAAAACGTTTTATAATTTGGAGCGGAGTGGGTACAACATTATTAGTTGATAAGAATGGGTGCTGAAAGTTGTCTTTCAAGAGAAGACATTGAGCGCCTTTTGAATAGCGAACACCTTAACAAATTGAAGAACTTGGTAGGTGGGCTGACATTTTAAGCCTCAGTCCAGCCATTCTTGTCTTTATGTGAAGGTTTATATGTGGGATTGATGAGCCATAATTCGGGCAACTTCATGCCCTTGTATTTAGTTTAACTACTTTATACCAGATTTCTAGCCAACTATAACATTCTCATCCCAGCAATCCATACTGCTATGCATCTCTAGCACTGATAATGCTTATTTGATCAGTGGAAGCTTGCATTCATATCCATGAACCGGCCAGAGTACCTCCAGGACACTGATGTTGTATCAGCACGTTTTCAGGCAAGTGATTTCTTCAGTATGCTTAAATGCATACCTTCTCTTTTTCACTATGTTCATACATGATACATTTCTTTTTATAATACAGAGGAGAGATGTGTATGGTGCTTGGGAACAATACCTTGGCTTGGAGCACACTGATACAACATCGAAAAGGTCTTACACAGCCAATCAGGTAGGCAATGCTATTCTGTTGTTCTATGAGTGAAATAGATGTTTGATGTGTTCATGAACTCTATTCCTGGTTATGTTTATGTGTGTCATCGGAGCTTTACACTTGGAAGGCTAGCGCTTATGGGCTTGTGTGATTTCTTGTATCTTTTTGCCCACCTATATATTTGTTGTTGGGTGTTTAGAATGTTAACATGAATGGCTTTGCTAATTTGCTTTAGCAATTTATTATGCAAAAAGTTGGGAGCAACTAACTGAGTAATCATGGTCATGCATTACATGCAAGAGCGCATGTAGAATGTTTGTGGGTTTGATGGGGGTATATCATTTGTTCCTCAATTAACTGCCATGTTTGTGTACCATAGAAGTAAGCCTTCTGTTTGTTTTTTATATGGTTTGCAGAATCGGCACACCTATGAGAAGCCCGTGAAAATTTATAATTGAGCAAGCTTCAATCGATTGACAAAGGCCTCGACAACAGTATGCCCTAGATGATAAGGGGCTTCGAACAGAAAAAAAGCTGGTAGAGGAGTATAGTTGCTGCCTGTGCTGAGTCCTACAAGCCCATCAATGCTGCGTCAACCTTCAGTGCTGTTGTCTATTGGCACCGGAGTATTCTTTTCGAGGCTTTTCCGACTTGCTTCCAAGCAACCAAGCATGTGTGTTGGTTTTTTCATCGTGTCTAGTATGATGGCCCCTGTTAGGATAGGTGTTTGCTTAATTTGTAGAGCAAAGCTAGTACATAAGAAAAAGATTTTTGTAAGGGGCATGTATACAGGATTATAGCCGATACTGATTGCTGAATTTGTGCCTCTTGTAGCTGTGGGAACAATGGCAGAGATTGTATAATGGGTTTGGTACTGGTTCCAATCTTCTGTGCTGTTGAGAAATGTAAGGCCCCGTTTAGTTCCGAAAATTTTTGGCTTTTGGTTACTGTAGCATTTTTGTTTGTATTTGGCAAAAATTGTCTAATTATGGACTATTTAGGCTTAAAAGATTCGTCTCACGATTTCTCGGCTAACTGTGTAATTAATTTTTTTTCGTCTACATTTAGTACTCCATGCATGTGTCGCAAGATTCAATGTGACGGAGAATCTTGAAAAATTTTAGGTTTTGGTTGCATCTAAACGGGGCCTAAGAGGATAGCTGCGCGGATAGTACAGTTTTTGAGTTCCAGCCTAGGCTGTTTGTTGCAACGTGGCATCCATATGCTGATAGTCTGTTGCCATCTTGTAAGAAACATCATCCTTTCGTCTAATATTCTACTTGCGCATATTGCAAACTGCGTACTGAGACCCTGTCAAACAGAGCTTTTGAAACCAATGCAACCCCAAACCAACCCATTCTACCAGAAGAGCCAACACATTGTCGAATGTCGAGCCGTCCTAGCTCAACGAACTAAAGAGAGACCTAGTAAGACCGATTGAAACCAAACCATTTAGGCATGGTACTAGGTCAAGAGATCGATGGATTATTTAGAAATATTGCCTCCATACTAAATTGGAAGTTGTTTTATTTTTCTATATAGATATATGGTTATGTATATATAGACATAATGTATCAATGTATATCTAGACATGTAGTAAAAGCTATGTACTTAAAAAAAAAACTACAATAGCTTATACAACTTAAAAAGGAGGGAGTAGAAAACATCCCTACCCCTTATTTAGAAATAGAACTATCCCTTATTCGGAGATAAAACACCTCTATCCCCTTGTCTGGCTATTGTTCTCCTTCCTTTGCCAAAGTTGCCAAGAGTTGTCGTAATCAGGGTCTAGATTATAATGTAGGATGGTTTTGCCAACCTTGATATTTGTTAAATAGATTTCTCATTTTACTTTTTTCTACTCTTTGTTAGCCCTCAGTCTCTGTCCTATGAATACAGTCGTTTGGCTGTTTTGGAATGCGGCATTTTTTCTCTATTTTTGCGTTTTTCCTGTGAAATTGAACTGATTCCTGTGAAATTCCTGTGTGATTTCTATAAAATTCCTGCGTTCCAAACAGATCCTTAAGGGTTAGACACACATGCTAAGGATGAAGGATAAAAGACCTTCGTACCCCTATATTCTAATCATTACTCCTCGGTACCCGCTCGACACTCTCTCGCTCCTCTCCATGTTCCTGATCTAGATCCCGGCGACCGTGATTCTCACCGCGGACCTCCACACTCGCCCGTCGACCCTGCGCGTCCGCACACAGAGGCCTAGGCGAGGAAGCCTCCTCGCTGGCACGCGGGCCACGCCTACCCTCACGTGAACTCCGCCGGCAGGTTTGGGGATAAAGGAGGGGGGTATCAATGTGGAGAAGAGGAAGAGGGCGACAGTTCTCGGCGGAGGAAAAGAAGGGGGGTGTCTGTTGAGGAGAAGATGAGGGAGGTAAGATCCATGCTGGGGTCATGCTGGGTTTTTATATTGAGCAAACGAGCGAGCGGATCGGAAGGTGGGAAGAGGTGAAAGTATAAGTTTGCACGCTACGGTGGAGGGTGGTAGCCGACAACTTTTGAATGCTAAAACAAAGTTTTTATTGGAATGGAAGGAGTATGTATTATTTAGCCAATTGCAATGCACATATATTTTTGCATATTTGTAAAAACCGTAGCCGATTGCAATGCACACATATATATGTTTGCATATTTGTAAACCGTACATATAAATCAGCTTGCACAACAAAAACTGCAAGGAAAATCAAACAACACCGCACTTTGTGTATGAAATTGTATTAGTTGTTATTGCTACGAAGTCAAATTTCTCTAACTATGTCCACATTTATAAAATTAGTTTTTTTTCTCTGAAATATGTTATGACTATGCATTTATTTGAATTTGTAGATGTTAGTATATTTTGCTAAAACTTCGTCACGATTAGATATGTTTAGTTCTAACGATAGCCTTTTTACATATAACAATATTTCTTTCCTACATATAGATTAATGTGTGGCACGCGGAACTTAAGTAACTGTTGTTCTGAAATTAAATTGCCAGCGACAGCAGCAAAATTACAGAAACCTTTAGCATTTGTTCACATACAACAAACTAGAGAGACATGCATAAATAGTATTCCCAGCCTCTGGTAAAATCCTACTACAACCGTTTCATCGTCATCATCACCTCATGTAGTGGCGATGCCGTTGACACATATATATATCTTGCATGTTTTACTTAACTCACAAGATCTGATCCATCTCAACAAGGACTAATAAGGTAATTAAGGTACCCTGATTACTAGTACTTAGTCAGACTGCCGGTGCCCCATCAATCCATGCTGTGGTGAGCAGCCAACCTCTGGAAATGGAACAGGAGGGAGGCCCCTGCTGGAGAACGGCTGGACAAGTTGATCAGATCACACCTTGATCTCTTCCTCGGCGGATTTCGGGCGGTCGGATTTCTTGCTAGACATGATGCTGCTGAAATTCTCTGATTTGCACAGCAGAATCTCAATCTGAATCCGAAAAGAAAAATACACATGTGATCAAAATGGTGTCGTTTATTTTACACATTTGGATCTACCTGGGATCTTGAATTCAGAAAGAAAGGGGGGAAAAGTGAGATGTCATATGCCACCTTGGCTTTACGGACAAGCCGGCCCTTGGACTCGTCTTTGGTGCCTATGGTTGATGTCAGGATCTCTAGAAAGGATGGATAGAAAAAGAATGTGAAACATACATGTGGGACGAAAACTAAAGCTTCAAGATCCAGAGGGTAGAGTATGACGACGCCTTACTCTTTTCAGTGGCGAGGCCATTGTTCTTGAGGATCTCGGCGACAGTCACGACGGTACCAATGGCTGCAACCAGAAAGGCCGGACTGATGTTTCAGAGATCAGAGAAACAATATAATGCGTCATCTGGGAATGAAAGAATATTGGGGAGGTGATTGGAGCTGGATAGGAATTGATGAATAGATTACCCATTCCCAGAGCAGAGAGTTCAACCTCGTCGTAGTTCTGCATATACCTCTGCACTCAACATTCACATGCTTTAGTTTAGAGAGACCTCAAGCTTTACACATTACACAAGAGTTATTTCATACAAAGAAATTCGACCGTAGTTTGATTTCGCTTTGGAGAAACAAAAATCTGTAAAACATAGTTATTTCACACCTCAAGCTTTAGTTTAGAGGCAGCGGAGTACAAACCTTGGCGAGATTGACATAGAAATAGAGAGGCTTCTTGTTGGTGGACACCTGGATGCGGTTCTTCTTCGCAGACGCACCGGCCTCCGCTTCCGCCTCGGCTTCCCCCTCGCCTTCAGTCTCCGCCTCCGCCTCCGCCTCCGCCTCAGCCTCCTCACCGACAACCGCCACGTCTTTCTCCTCAGGCGCCGCCTCCTCCTCGTGCGCCTTCGCCACCTCCCTCTTCACCTCGGCCGCCTCCTCCCTCACCGCCTGCTCCTGTGCCTGTGCCTCCTCCCCCTCCGCGGCCGGACGCACCGCCTGCATGGTGTCCGCCGGTCACTTGCTTGCTGGCTCGATTGGGCGGTTCGACGATCGTCGTGCGTTGGAGATCGATGGCCGATAGAGAATACGTGCGCGGGAGGAGTGGATTCCGACGGGGCGCGAGGGCGGTGGTGGTGGCGGTGCAGAATTATGTAGCGCCGCGATGCGTGGCGCCGGCGGTTGCGCGCGGACGCGCGGTTGCCCGGGGCTGGCGGTTGCCCCGGGTGGTTATTTCGAGACTCGCGGCTCCCTGCCTGTGCGTACTTGCGCATGCATGCAGACAACGGATGACACGTCCGTACGTCCACGTGGACCAGGACCAGGACAAATGAAAATTAGTCAGCACCACATTAAATTTGTCTCTTCAAAAAACAGCACTAATTTTGTCTAGCTCAACACTCAAGTACTCCCTCCGTTCCTAAATGTACGTCGTTTTCGCTTTCGAGAAATAACTTTGACTAAATATATATTAAAAACTATTAATATTTATAATACATAATTAGTATCATTGGATAGATATTTGAATCTAGTTTTTTAATAAATTTATTTAGAAATAGAAATATTGCATGCATTTTCTATAAATCGAGTCAAAGTTATAGACACGCAAATCATGACGACCAACATTTAGGGATAGAGGGGGTATATATACTACTACACTATGTGTATACATTAATGAAAAAAAATCAATACCATCAGAATATCACAAAAAGGTATCAATAAACCTATTTCATGAGTAGTACATGTTTGCTTAAACTTATTAGCCGGCTTATCAGCTAGAATCTACGGTATTTTTTTCTCACAACAAATCAGCTTTAGCCGACTTATCAACCGACTTTAATACCAGCCGAACAACTGAGCAAGCAATCACTGGCGGGGTCTAAACCTGACATCATTGTGGGAATTGTGTCAATAGAGAGCAATCGATGGTGACGGGACTCGCCTATATCATTGTTGTTTACGGACCTAACATTGACATATGAGATAATTAGCGGGTAAACTCATCAACCGATAATAATATGATGACCAGGCCATGCCTCAACTCAGGTGTGAGATCATGTGTATCATGTCAGATCAAAATAGCATACCCTAGTGATACGACGAGTGTCACTGTTGGGTTAGACTTGCACCTGCAATGCAGTAGTTTTGCCGAGTGCCCAGTAGTTTTGCCGAGTGCCAGGGGCACTCGGCAAAGGTCCAAAAACACTCGGGAACTGATTTGCCGAGTGTAACACTCGGCATACAACACACGGCATCTGTGTGTTGGCAAACAGCTATTTGTCGAGTGTTTTTTATCACGCACTCGGTAAATGGTTTGCCGAGTGTCAAATTTGACACTCGGCAAAAAAAAATTGGTTTGCCGAGTGTCAAATTTAACACTCGACAAAAAACAAAAATTGGTTTGCCGAGTGTTTTTCATAATACACTTGGCAAACCTATTTTCCAAAGAAAAAAATAATTATCCGGACAGCAAGGAAATCAGCCATGTGGATGCAAACCAATAATCATTCATCCAAGACACAACACCAGCAGAGCATTTCATCGAGCACCAATAGGGCAACAATTACTAATCAAATCGAAGTCCAAGGATAGAGATCGACGTGCACCATGGCTGCAACCAACCTCCAAAATAGGTTGAGGAGGGCCACAGACACCCCGCCTCATCCGCTTCCCGGCCCACCAGTCTCGAAGTCGCGCATGTGGACCGGGCACGCCGCCGCGCATTCAGGTGAAAGCCAGAGAGCACCACCTCCCACCACTTGGCTCAAACGCCTACGGAGGGGGCAGGGATGGTGGATCCGCTACATGCCGCCGGTTGAGCCACCCCTCTCCGAAAGAGCACGCAGAGAGGCCATCCCTTGCAGAGAGATAGGAGCGAGATCCGGACAGGGGATAGCGAGATCTGGCGGGGGAAGGAAGGATCCGCCCACCCCGTGCGGGCAGGCCTCTGCCGCTTTAGCCAAGGTCCCCGCCAAGAATTGCGTCGGAACCAAAGACAGAGCTTCGTGGGAGAGAGGAAAGTAGGAAAAAAAGCGCGTCAAGCGGAGGTGGAGGAGGCCGGCCTCGGCGCTTCTAGGGCCTACCGACGGAGCCCCGCTTCGACCCTCATGCACCACCTCCACCGGACCTCCTCAGATCCGCCCTCGCCGCACCTCCTCGTGATCCGCCTTTGCCACCTCCTCCACCTCGTAGATCCGCTTGAGCCTGCTGCTGCCTTGGAGCCGCCAGACACGAGGAGCCCACGCGACGGTCAGGTGCGCTCAGCCTCACCATCGTGGTGAGCGCCTAACTAGATCCGCCGGGTTTGTGACGACGGAGGGGGGAGGCGCCACCGAGAGAGGGAGGGGCCACCGGTGGCGGCGGGCGGCGTCCCCGAGGGGAGGAGCACACGGGGTGCTCGGGTGGGGACTGGGGGAGGGGCGCTGGGCCTCAGGAGGGGAGGGGAGGGTATTTGACAAGATTTTTTTTGTTTGCCGAGTGTTCGATCCGGACACTCGGCAAAGTTTCCAGAAAAAAGATTATTTATTTGTTTGCCGAGTGTTTTAGATCTGAGTACTCGGTAAAGTTTTTTAAATTTTTTTTTCTTCTTCTTTTCCAGAAAAAATATTTTATTTCTTTGCCGAGTTTTCCAGATCTGAGCTCTCGGCAAAGTTTTTTTTCCATTTTTTTCTTCTTCTTTTCCAAAAAAATGATTTTATTTCTTTGCCGAGTGTTTTTTTTTTGACATTCGGCAAACCATATCTTTGTCGAGTGTTTTTTTTGACACTCGGCAAACTCCCTCTTTGCCGAGTGTTTTTTTTTTGCCGAGTGTTTTTAGCTCAGCACACGACAAAGAGCTTGTTTGCCGAGTGCCCAAAGAAATACACTCGGCAAAGGTAAAAACACTCGGCAAATTTAAAGATTCCGGTAGTGCTGGCAGTCGGTATATCTGTACTCATTTCCCGTTTAGGCTTCAACTTTGCAGTGGTCTTCATTTTCCCCATTGTTTGTTGTTGGTATATTTTGCTATTACAATTAAATAGAGCTTAGTATCTAATATTTACATGTGTAGTATTCAAGACGTGCAAGGTGTGTGTGGAATGAAAGGATGGACCTTATTTTGAGTTCATGGCTATCTTTTTCTCATCTTCCTTTTTTTCATTTTTTCTTTCTTTTCTCATTATCATAATATTTCTTTTCATTTTTAATACATGGAGTATTTTTAGAGAGGGATCCAGGGGCTGGATCAAGCGGTGGGGTCGGGTGGGGCTGAAGCCCCTCCTACCACCTCCATGACAATGGAGCCCCTCCTAATTTTTGTAGACATGAAAGAGAGAAAGGAGGGCTCTAGAGGTTGAAGATGACTTCAGCCCCTCTTCCATTAAGTCCTAGATCCGCCACTGGAGGGATCATATATAAAACATGGAGTATTTTATTTGGTGGAGATGCATGGAACGGCATGTTCCTGCTTACTTCCGTTGTATAAGTATAATATATTTTGGGGTGGTGTGTACATGATCTTGATTATAAGAACATGGTAAAATTTTCACTAGATTCACAACCTTTGACAAAACTTAAAACAAAACCAAGTTGCAAAAAAGATAGAGATTTCATCATGTATTGCATATTTGGTTTTGGTAGGACATGTCTTACCATAGAGGAGTTGTGAAGCCATTGGTTTTAGAACATTTTGATCAAAATAAAAATCTCCAAGTACTTGAATCAAAGAGGCAAGATTGCTTCATATAATAACCATATCTCACTTCACAATAGCCTAGTTGATATGTCTTGCTAATTAAAAAAATGTCTCACAAGCAACAAGTCTATGTGCTGGGAATAAAGAGTATGTAGGCCAAACTTTAAAGTTATGTTCACAAGCATTCATGGTTTGACAATTCAGGCTTTAATTTGGTCTTTCAATATTTATAGGTGTAGTTTTTAGGGAAATTTATAACAGAGAGCAAGGGGATATGCAAACCACTGCACCAAAGCAATGGGGCACCAAGACGTGCCAGGAGTAGGCCGACGCCCCCCCCCTAGAGTCCAAATGTCTCAAAATTTTGTATGTTGCATGGTCTAATTATGCACTACATGTTTGCATCTGTTAATGTCAAATTTGCACATCTAAGCATACATCATTTAGCATGGCAGCAAGACTCTCAAGGGTAGTCTTTTGGGAGCTTTTCCCCACTATCCTCGAACTACCGTAGAGGTCCATTGATGACTATTTTGCCTCTTAATAACCATATCACATTTTAGGAGCCAACTGATGTGTCCCACAAATTCCTTTGCGCACTTCACCCATAGCTAGTCTAGACTGATTAGAATCCAAACACTTCAGAAGTAACCCATCTAATGTTTGGTGGTATAGTTCATCATTTAACAACGTATATTTGAAAGCTTGTCGCCGCTCAAAAGTGCATGCATGTAGATGTACGTACTAGGCCACATGGACCACAGACAACTCGTGCCCGCAATAAACTCATCAGCAATCCATACCATACATACATGACACCAACAGGCAATGTACATATGCGACATCCGGATGGATGGACGGCAGGCATCACGTACGTACTAGCTAGCTCTTGCATGCGTTGTCCACAGGGTGCAATACGGCCGGACTTGCACCGTACCCCTGCTAGCTGTGTCCGACGGATCGAACAAGAGCACGGCCACGGCAAAGCGGGAAGGATGACGGTGGTGCATGGAGCACAACACAGACTCGCATCCCTGTTTCCGACGTGGTGACTGACGATCATCCAGTGGATGGTAGCATTCGCGATGGGCTTTTGGATGGATGCATGTGGTCCGGGTCGTCGTCTCTTGTTTCCATGCGACGCTCAGGCGACGCAGTTGAGGCCCACGCAGCCCATCCACATGCTCCTCACATGCTTCCTCTGAAAAAGAAAACAACAAGAGAAAGTACAGCGAGCTTTAAAGTCAACTTGCTGGGTCTGGAAGCTGGAGGATTAGCTAATACAGTAGGTAGATCAATTCGAGAATAAGAGTACAATATATATAGTTCGTTCTCTTTCAATTTATTTATAGCTTGGATCTGATCTAGTAGCTAAGCAGTTTAGAGGCGGTTTTTTCAGAAGCAACGCAACCAGAAAGCAGGAGGATTATACTACAGAGGCTAGCTTGTATCGAAATGCACTACCTAGATTCAAAGTTCAATACTACTATTTTGGAGTATTTCTGGATCATTATTTCTGCGTGCAATCTGCAGAGGCTAGCTAGATCCAACGTGGAGCGCTGACCTTATAAAAAACATCGAACTAGACTAAAAATATAGTGAAGTGTTGAAGCAGCTGAAGAGAGGAGACTAGAGAGGAGGAGAGAAATGGTACTGTACCCCTTTCTTCTTGCGCGGCATATCGGAAGGGACCTTGTACAGGTCCTCGTCCACGGCCGCCCTAACGACCCTCGGCCTTGCCGGGCGGGAGCCGTCGCCAGCCACGAACGGCGGCAACGCCTCCTGCCGCAGCTGCTGCTGCCTCCTGCTCCCCGCCTGAACGTGAACCTCATTGTGGTGACCGTGACCCTCCATCGTGCTCCGCACCTGACGAAAAAGTGGCGCGTCACACACATCACGATCCATCCATCCGTCCGTTAGACGGACGGTTAGAGAAAGCAACAAAACAAGGGTCAAAGGAGCACAGCACACAGCAGGGATGCCACTGCCACTGCCAGTTTGCCACTGATGAGTGTGCATAATAGAGGAGCTCACGGGAGGATAGTACCTTCTTGGCCGGCTTGTGCGGAGGCGGCGAGGCGGAGGACCTGAACAGCACCAGCTCGGCGGCGGCGGCGGCGGTGGCGTCGTGGTAGCAGTGGCCACCGGGCCTGACGAGGAGGCCGGCCTGCACCGCGGACTCGAAGTACTGTGTGATGGGCACCTCGTCGTCGCTGTGCTGGTTCCACCTCCCGAACGCCGGGATCTGCCGCCTCCTTCCTCCCTGTCCCTGCCCCTGCCCCTGCATCACTCATTCTTTCATTCAAAGAATAAAGGACAAGTGAAGCGAAGCATCCATGAATATAAGTGCATGCTCTGGCTATGCAAGATGTGCAGAGGACGCATCTATCGAGATGGAGGAGCGCGCGGATCAGAACGACTGAGCTTTCATGCATGCGACCGATGTGTGATGGTACCAGAGTAAGAACAGATGTGTGCTTCTTGGCAAGCAGCTTACCTCCATGAATACTAGCTCGTCGTGAAGAAGCAACGATGGCGGATGCGTGTGTTCTCCCTCTCCCTCCTCCGTGCCAGTGGAGGAAGACGACGACTCCTACTACTCCAGACAAGGAAGAAGTAGAAGAGGAGAGCCAAGAGTGACAAGGAGCAAGTTGCTGCTTGTCTGAGCGGAAACGAAAAGGAAGAGGTGAAGGTTGCCACGAGAAGCAAAGGCGCCTTTCTGGGTGCTTTTTAATGGCTGGCTGGCTGCCCGAGTCCGTCTGGGTCTTGGTCTGGCTGCGTGCGTCTGCCTCTGCATGCGCCAGGACCAATTAACTCGCCCTCGGCATGCATTCATTATTAAGCGCAGAGACCGAGAGACGGGCATCGCAGCGTTGGCAGTTGCGCACTATCTCTCTCAAACCAGGGCCTTGTTTAGTTAGTAAGTTTTTTCACTTTTTTTTATCACATCAAATTTTTGACACATGTATAAAGTATTAAATATAAATAAAAAAAATAATTAATTATACAGTTTGATTGTAAATTATGAGACTAATTTTTTAAACCTAGTTAGGCCATAATTGAACAATAATTGTTAAATACAAACGAAAATATTAGAACGCAAAGTACGGATTCATAACCAGCGATGCGTTGCGCGTGCTAGGAGTACACTGCGCTGCCTAGTCAACGCTAGAGATTGGGAGGGAGCGAGGGACTAGGGTAGGGAGTACTATTCCTTTTGAAAAATTTGCTTGATGCATTGGCTGGCTTGAATTGATGCCACGACTCTGAAAAAAATAAAACTGTTTCCTTTATTTTAGAAGTATAGCCACATTTACGGTTTGCGAGACATACGACATACGTACGAAGCTCAATCGGGAAAAAAAATAAGAGAGAATTCCCTGTAGACCATTTTTAAAAATACAACTTTCTTATATGACACCAGAAAAGTTTATCTTCCTTCTCGACCACCAGTTCACAAATTTCGACCCCTACCTGTCATCCCCGCTAGAGCACCGTTGGGCGTGGGTGTCAGTTTTTTTGATTAATGGTCATTCTACCCCTACTTCCGCACCCCGCTCGGCTCTACCAGCAGCCTCTGCAACGGCGGCACACGTCCCACGCCGAGCGCTTCACCCGCCTCGGAGTCGACGTCCAGGTAGAGACGGCCGCCTCAGCTTCCTCCTCGTGCTCGTGGTCGTGGCCCCCGCCATCCCGCGCGTGCGCCATTGCCAGCTCAAGGCGCAGCGGCGGCCTGTGGTGCTGGTGGTTGCTGTTGCCGCCTCCGCCGCTCCTATTTCATGGCGCAAAGATTTTTGCAGCTTCAGATTCGTGCCCGTGGGGATGTAGCTTCCGATGCGGATGCGGACGCAGCATCCCCTCACCCCGCCGGGACACCAGCGTCGTCCGCCGGGATGCACAGAGACGCGCTCTTCCCCAGGTGGCGGCCGTCCACTCGAAAGCTCGACGCCTGTGGTGGTGTACTCCACGTGCTCCGGCCGGGGCTGCAAACGCACGGCGGCGCGACCGCCCTGCTCGGCGTCGCCGGAGTCGTGGAGACCTCGTCCCACTCCCACGCGTCGACGCGCCCCGCGGCGTCCATTGTGTACACCGGCTCCCGTCGACATTCAACTAGCAGAACGGTGCCATAGTTACCTGTAGTTTGCTAGCACCTCGACATTCTGAACTGAAGTAGGAAGACTGGATGAGAAGAATTTGATCAGATCATTTAGGCTTTGTTTGGATACGTATGTATTCGTCTCAATTCACATGTGTTAATATAGATTGGAGTAGAATTAAACTAAGTTTCGTTCCAATCCACTCCAACACACGTGAATCGGAGTGGATACACGTGCATCCGACTGTGAGAGGCGTTCTTCTCTGGGTAATCCACGAGAACATCTATCTATATGAAAAACAGAGAGCGCCACCAAGCGTAGAATGCTGAAAGCAAATGATATAGATGAGAAACGGCTTAGCAAAGGCGAATTTTATTAAACAGCAAGCTAAATTTATGCACAACTTGGCATGTTCCTTCAATATGTCGTCTTCGTACATTGCCCAGTTTTTCAGAGAAGAAGAAAACGCAGGTTGCCACAAGAACAAAGGACTGGAGGGCCGTCATGTCAGTACCGTCGGCGTCGGCCGTGTCGTGCCTGCCGCGCCGCCCGTGCGAGAGCTCCACGAGGTACTTGCGGCACCCCGCCGACGTGGCGCACGAGAGGGCCGAGCAGACGCACGGCGGCGCGACCGCCCTGCTGGGCGTCGCCAGCGTCGCGGATACGTCGTCCCACTCCCACGCGTCGACGTGCCCCGCGGCGTCCATTGTGTACACCGGCTGCTGTCCGCGCCGGAGGACAACGCGCGCACGGCGTCCACCCAGCACCGCCCGAGCGCGTCGGCGTCGAGCAGCGCCCACTCCGCGCCCACGGGCCGCGCGATGGCGAGGCGGGACAACAGTAGGGGCCGGGATCTCAGACGAGTAGCACGGCGTATCCTCGCCGCCATCGTCGGCAAAGCAGAACCGCAGGCAGATGCTCTCGGCGCAGCCGTCCACGCCGCGGCGGGCGGGAGGAGGACTTGCGCGCCCGTGACTAGGTTCAGGAGTCACAGCGGCGGCTGACGGATCAGGTACGCTCGGCCCTCCGCCACGCTTAGGCAAGGTTTTCATTTTCAGAAATTAAAATTTATCGAGGGTCACAGATAAAGAGGATAAACATGATATATCGGAAATATCGGACCAAATTCAAATAAAATTTAATTTGAATTTAAGTAAATTTAAATAAATTTAAATAAAATTTATACGAAAAAGATAGATATTTTTTTATCGGCACCTACAGATAAAAATGATATATCGGAAATATCAGGAGATTTCGTCCGAAAAAGGAAACCATGCGCTTAGGAACCACACCACCGAGAGCTTGGCGCTCCAGTCGTCGTCGTCGTCGCCGTCGCCACGGCCGGCCTACGCCAAAACGGTTCCCAAGATCAACGTACTCTCGGCGGTGGCATACAAGGAACCACTGAACTTTTTGCATGGCACGTCAGCAGGGGGCAGAATGAACACTTCATCCTCCAGTTAAGGCACGTTAGAGGCAAAGTACATGGTAGTGGCTCGTAGGGGGACGAAATCTGTGAGCCGGTGGTTGAAGATGAACTTTTCAGTGTCGTATAAGAAAGTTGCATCTTTTATAATGGTTTAGAGGGAATTCTCTCTCAAAAAAAAAACTGAGACGTCCTTCGTAAGAAAAATAAGCCATTTTTTCAAACTGGATATTGTACAGTCATGGGCTCATGGGATGGGATACATATGCATTGGCATTTTCCTTAAAGGCTGAAACCAGCGTTACGTGTGCACAGTACAATTTTCTGAAACGGCCTTTCATTGTCCAATAAATATTGCAGTGCAGCATCGACTCCATCGACTGTAGCAGTACTATCACATGTGTACTAAACTTTTCTCAATTGTTTGTTCTAGCACAAATAATAAACATAAAACTTTTGTTTTTTTTAAATCTTTTTTTTGTTTCAAAAAAATAAACATAAAACCGGGTACGTACTGTACAGCGGAGAAGAAATCGAATATATCCAGAAACCGAGGGCGAGGGTACGCCAGCCCTTGACTTTTCCGTCTCGATTCCTTTCCTTGCTTTGTTTTTCTCTGTCTCCCAAACCACGCAACGTCTCGTCGTTTCACCGTTCTGCTGCCGCCTGTTCCCTGTTTCCTGCGCGGCCCACCTCCCCATGCACAAGAAGCTGCCAAAAGCCGGCGCGCGCACAGAGGCGCGTCGTCGTCCGTGGTCCGCCGGCGTGGCGTCGTCGCGACGCTGAATCTTGCCGCGCGTCGACTGGCGACTGGCGGTCTGCTGGGGCGCGAACCCGCGGCGGACAGGTCGGCGCCGTCGCGCGTGCCGAGGCGCGGTCGATCTGACACGCACACGATTGGGCTTCGCGGCCGTTTTGGTTCCGTGGATTGGACGCGCGGGCAAACGGCAACGCATGCATGTGTCCATGTCCCGGTGACGATGCATGTGTGGCTTCGACGCACGCTGGCAACTCCAATCGGAATCCGAGGGACGTCGTCGATGGGCGGGTCACGGTAAGGGGTTCGCATTGTTTCAGCCCGTTCGCTGCTGATAAATCTAGCGGGTGCTAGTTTGCTACGAAAAAATAATAATGTACCAAATCAACAAACGAACAGACTGTTTACCTGCTTTCAAAGTTAAAGCCTGCCTCGAGTCTCGGGCGTCGACGCAGTTCTCTTGTCGCGAGAAATTTGGATGTCGGGACATACAGTCACGACTAACGAGTGCTCAAACACTTGGTTACCCTTCTTCCTCCCTTACTTTTGTTTTTGAAAACAACTAGTACTCCTATACAAATGTTCCTTTAACGATCATATACCAAATTACCAACCATAAATTTATCCAAATTGTATTACAAATTTAATATATTTGCAAATACTCCCTCTGTTCCTGAGTAGATGCCTATAGTTGTCTTAAGCCAAACTTTTTAAACTTTGACTGAATTTATAGGAAACCCAATCCAGATTTAAAGCATCAAATTAGTATCACTGATATACCATAGAATATATATTTTTATATTGTACTTATTTTATGTCATAAATATTGTTGTTTTTTCTATAAAGTTAGTTAAACTAAAAATCATTTTACTTGCACGGATTTAGAAATTAATTTATTTAGGGACGGAGAAATAATTTGTGTACCAATAGGTTCGGGCAACAGCGGATCCAGAAACTTTTCAAGGCTAGACCACTTTTCAGTTACAAGTACTACTCCATGGAGGTGAAATGATTGGAAACGATTGATAAAAGACTAAGGGGGTGTTTGTGACTCATCTACTCCATATTTTTAGCTCCGCTTTCATGTTTTTAGCTGGCTCCACGCACTCTGCTCGAGGAAAATAGGTGGAATTATGACTTGTGAGAGCACCTAAAGGGTGCTCCACAAACTTCAGATTTTTTGTGGAGTTGTTCCACGGTAGAGTCGTGGAGCTGAGTCTGTGAAGGAGTCTCAATCACGCCCTAAATCATGGAACAGTTGCAAATGATCAATAACAGGTTAAATCACTTTCAGTTTTAATTTTATTTAAGATACTGTCAAAATGAGAGAGAGAGCAGCGTTGGTAGTCCGATAATATTGGAAACAAAACAATCTTAGGGGTCGTTTGGATCACTTCATTCTGGAGAATTAAAATCTACATAATAGATTAGGTTATTTGGCTTGGAATTTGACATTCCATAACATTTTCAAACTCACAAATAAGTCTATCTCAAATTCATAGGGTGGGAGATGAAAATGGATTCTATAGATCACTATACTATAATTCTATTCTCCAACTTATAGCACACTCTTCAACTCGCTTCCCTACAATAGAAATGCAACATATAAGTATGTCCCTTATATGCCTAACAATAAATATACAAATATATTCCATATATAACTATATTAGCTTAATTAATCTATGTCTAAATTGTAACTATTAAAATAAATTCAATTAAGGATCCAAACAGGACCTTATTGAAATCACATCGATAACGATCCAAAGCAATAAAAAATGGCAATATTCTTGCTTCGTTAGTTTGTTTCATTATCCTCTTTTAACCAAAATTGTTTTCAGTCTCTTCAATTGTACCGGCGCTGAGCTGAACACCAAATCCCCAATTTCTTCTCTCTCTCTATATTAGGGATGAGAACGACCACTCCTGATTTCATATTTTCACGTGAAAATGGAAACGAAATAGAGAATGTCAGTCGGGAAAACAGAAACGGGAAACTCAGAATATCGGAAAAGAAACAATTCGATCGGATATACGTCAATAACCGTAATTTAAATCAGAACATATAATAATAATGTCAAACATATAAATAAGAAAAACTACAAATGATATATGACAACAAAAAAATGTTTACATAAATTATTTTAAATAGTATGTTGTCACAAATCAATTGGGACGTTGAATATATCAACACACGAAAACAATGTAACATGCCCAATTGACGCATGCATACAGCCACGCATGAGGCTGTCGGTTGTCCTCTGTTATCTAAGTGCCTGTTTAGTTTCTAAAATTTTACAAAATTTTTTAAGATTTTCTATCACATCGAATTTTTGGACGCATGCATGAAGCATTAAATATAAATAAAAAATAAAACTAATTACACAGTTTAAACGAAATTCACGAGACGAATCTTTTAAGCCTAATTAGACTATAATTGGACACTAATTGCCAAATAACAACAAAAGTGCTACAGTACCATTTTTCAAAAAATTTCGCCAACTAAACAAGGACTAAGCACGGTAGCCGGTAGCAACAGCAAAGAGGCCGGCAGATCGTGCCGGGGCTTCCTCGTTCCTTCTACCCCCCCTCGCGCAATCAGTCCAGGTTGAAGAGTTGACAATCTTATATAGGGTCTATTTATGACTACTCTACCGACTCTATTCCACAAGCTCTATCATGGAGCTACTTAAAAAAAACTTGAGTTTCTAAAACACCTCTTTAGATGCTTGAATTTGCGAACCTACAAAACTCCGCTACACCATGCTAAAAAAACATGGAGTGGAACCGTCCTAATCATACGCGGTATGTAGGAACAGGACCATGACAGAGCCGTATACAAAGCTTTGGTGTTCTTCTCCTACTAAAACGGAAAACGGTCAGAAAGAAAAACAATCAGGAAACCAAAAAACGGTGACGATCGGGACGGGAATCTACCATCCTGTTTTCATCCCTGCTCTACATGAAGCAACGTTCGTAGCTTAACACTTGCTACCCAAAGATAGCACAATATAGATTCCCAACTCTATAAAACACCGGTTTCTCTCTCACAAGACACAAATGCAAGCTCCTCACGACCAAAATTGATTTGTCGCTCTTCCACACCTCCGTCTGTACGACTCTACCTATTGCTGCAGCCATAAACCCCACCCCCACTATCAGCCGATGCGTTTGCTTCACCTTCACAGCCAGCCGTCCAAGGTTGAGCCTTCACTTCATTTCAATCCAATTGAATTGATACTAGTACAATCACGTCTGCAAATGGTTGGGATTTGAAAATTGGAGTAGAAAAATACGTCAAATGAGGCCGAATCTGTGCCCTGCATCTGTGTGCCCGCTGGTCTCCATGAAAATATGTGCTCTGCATCTCTGTGTGCCCACTGGTCTCCATGACCACGAGCCACGACCGAGGGTGAGCAGCCGAGCAGTGCGCACGAATCGATCAGAGCGCTGGGGGACTTCCGTTGGATAGACAGATGCAGTGATCCAGCGGCCGGTGGTTGAGCAGCGGAGGCATCGGGCACGGGTGTAGGTCCTCGTTGATTGAGCTGTGGCTGTGAGAATAAATTGTTGTGAACTGTAAGCGGTGGAAAAGCTGCCGTGGGATATCAGCTGTGATGAAAGCCGTTTGCCTGAAGCAGCTGTGGACAAACTGTTATGACTGTAAGCTATGTAAAAGGTCTAATACTTCGACCTATTTTAGACGATG